CCCCCGTTGGTGATTCTCGCGTTTCGTGTCCGCCTCGTGATCATCTAACCGATTTAGAACGAGATATTTCTTCTCCGCGCATGGTCAATGGTGTAGTAGCTGAGTCATACGAAACATGAGTTGGCCCCACCTCCCCCCCTCATGGACATTATGTGTCCCAGGCGCGAGTCGGACGTGCCCGGTTCGAGATGCGCAGGGGGAACATGCGGGATGCGAGGATCTTTCTCAGCGAGGCGGCTAACCTTCCGCAGGAAGACGGGACGCTGTTCAGCATGTGGGCCACGCTCGAGATTAAAGAGGTTTGTTCGCGTATGTTGTGGTGGTGGTATTCGTCCAGCTTTCGTTGGTGGTGTTTTCCTCGTCGGGGTGTGGTTGGGTTCTTGTGTCGTTGCTGTGGCTGTTTGTCGTGTTTTCGTGATTTGCTGCTGCTATCCCTTACGGAGAATGTTGTTTTGGTACGCGCCCTGCATATGGAAAACTTGTATTAGTTATTTTTAGACATAGAATCCAATAAATCCAGGATCAAACCGTTTGATTTCGATCGCAAGACCCCCCCCCCCATGAAACAATAATTGCCGGCCCCCCTTGTCAGGGCAACCTCGAGACGGCCTTGAAGATCGCAGAGGCTGCCACGGCTCGGTTCCCGTGGGATAAGTTCCTTCTCCAGACGATGGGCACGGTGAGGAGAATCGTCCTATTGTTGTCGCTGTTGCAGTTGCTAGGGTGTTGTTTATGGTGTTTTGTGATAGTGTTCGGCACGTTTTCACCTCATGGGGGGGAAACAGTTATCGCGCGTATTGTTCTAGTGGCGGGTAGCGTCGTTGTTTCCATGCGTCGCTGTGGGTGGTAAGGCCACCGAATGTTGCAAGCGACTCCCTGGGGCGGTACACAATTAGTACACCCGCGCCCTCGTGTGGACACTCGCACGCATACCCGCGGCTCGTTTTTGTGCCAGACAAGGCAATCTAAGAGTCTTTTCTCCGTGTTTCCCTGACGATTCCGACACCGAAGAATGTCCCGCATGTGGAGATCGAAGACAATCGCCGCGAGGGGGATGCGCGGCAATGAAGCATCGTCCTTACTCTGCGTTCTTCCTGTGCACCATACCCCGGACTGCTATGCATACGTCGCAAATATCCCCGACAGATGTAGACTGGCGCCCACAATAGTATTTGCGACGGAACCCCCCCCCACACACGCACGCATATCCCGTTGTATGCTGCGTAGGCCTTCCTCAGCTCACTCTTTCGCAACAAAGCTTTGTTGCGCGTAGTTGTTATGCCGATTGATTCAACTTCAAGTTGTGCATCAACTCTTTGTACCGTGGGTGCAAACGCGCAATCACACTCCCCGATGTGCAGGTGCATGGCAAGCTGGGGCGGTACGAGGAGGCGATCGAGTGCTACCGGCGGAGCATCGCGCTGAGCCCTGCCGCCCCCGCCTATGTGGCCTGGGCGCTGGTAGTGGCTAAGCTGGCTGAGCGGGCCGAGAGAAATGCCTCGAGCAAGGAGGTGCGGGGAGTTGTGTTTTGGGTGCTGGTCCAATAGCCTACGCACGTTTTTATATGTAAGCAAACATATGGATAAAGTATATAATCGGCTATGTTGGGGTTAGAGTCCTGCTTTTTCGTAGTTGCCTTGCTTCCTTTTGCGTAGGTGGTTTGGCTGACGTTGGTTGTTCTGCGGGGCAGAAGGCAGCAGCAACAACAGCAGCAGCAGGAGCGTCGACAAAACAAGCTTGCGGCAGAGCTCTGATGGACGTGTGTCGGCTTCTTATGAGGTCCTCAGGGGCGCTCCCAGCCTGTTCTAGTGATCGCGGCTGTGCCACTGACACTGCGGCCGTTGTATCGGCCCCATGACTGGGGGGGAATCAAGTTATTGCGCCTCATCTTAAGCAGCTGTCTTGATCTAGTTTTGTTACCAGTATGCATTTGTCGCCGCCCCCCCACGGTTGGGAGTGAACCAATTTTTTCGCATTTACTCCCTTCACTTCAAACCCCACCATCTATCTTATCCTTGTCTGTCTAATCAGACCGCCGCCGGACAAGAACAAGACGTGGTGGCCGGCGATCCCGTCGTCGAGTACGTCGGCGACGCCAGCGATGACGGCACTATCCTCGGAGAGGCCTCTGATGCTGTTGCGGGAGGCTCAGGGGGGACTGCGGCCGAGAACGACGGCGGTGCCGCGGGCGAGGGGGGGGTCTCCCGCACCGAGGAGGAGGAGGGGCCACCATCGTACGAAGAGGCCAGGAGGCTCTTCGAGCTGGGGATATTGGCGGACCCGACGCACGGACCGCTCTACAATGCCTACGGGTGAGAAATGAAAGTAGAACGAATGGCATTTCTCGAACGACACCTGTGAGACTGAGAACCCACACCTTGTGTTTTGCGCGCGAATTGAGCATCGTTTTCTTTGGGGGGGAGCGGGGGGGAAGGAGACATACCACAAGCATAGCACGCCATGATGACCGAGAGCCGTTCTTGTCTACGCACGCGGGGTCAACGCTGTCCCAACCCTCCATGATCGATCTCCCTGCTGTGGTCGCCATTGTGACGGCCCCCACCATTCGCATCGTTCCGTTTTTTTTGTTTTCGCTCGCCACTGGGTGGCTTGCCTTTTCTTGTTCGGGATTTCCAGCTCCATGGAGGCCAAACTGGGCAACGTTGAGCACGCGCGCAGCGTCTACAAGCGGGGCATCGCGGCTCGCTGCAGCGGGGCCGTCCACGTTTGGCAGGGCTTCGGGAAGCTTGAGGCGTCGGAGGGCAACAGAGACGCGGCTAGGAAGGCGAGTTCAACGTACTGTAGTGCAAGGCCTATGGTGTTGGTTAGCCACGACGCGGCTGGGGGGTGTGCGTGGAGTTAGTACCATCCTTCAGGACCTACGGTGTTGGTTAACCATGGAGAGTAAGGGCTCGGCGTGGAGTTGACAACTGTAGCTCAGGACCTACGGTGTTGGTTACCCACGGAAAATACGTGCCCGGCTTGCGACCAGCTCTCTCGCTCGTCAGTCGTTGAGCCCCGGTGTGGTTTTGCGAGACTGCTGGTTACTGTTGAGCACGATGCGACCACTTGTACGCTGCTCGAGCAATCGGGGACCTGTTAGAAGAACTTTTGGAAATCATGCGCTTGGTGTCTTCGATGGCTACGTTTGGCGAGCACGAAAATGGTCACGAAAAGTGAGGGGCGCCTCCGCGAGAAATTGAGTTTTTATGAGGAAATAGAACAGGGACGGCATTCACAGACCCTATTGGCTAACCCTAACCCAACTTGCCCCATTGCATGCCTTTGGAATGTTAGCGCAAGAAGAGAAAAGCTCTGCGAGGGCTGCTGACAAGTGGACATCTGGAAGGACGCACGTGGACAGTGGTCATGACGCAGGACTCCTTTTGCACCACCAACAAGCACGATGCCCCCCCCTCCCCCTTTTAACAGATTTTTGCTAGAGGGATCAGGGAGTCATCGGAGGATGTGAGCTTCCTGTGCCACTCCCTGGGATCGCTAGAGCTAGCGGCGGATAGGCTAGGGGAAGCGAGGGCGGTGTTCTTGGCGGGGGTCGAGAGGTAGGGGCATGTTCGGCGAGCAACCAAGCGGCGGCTAGGATAAAACTGATCCGCCGTTGGGACATTCGCAGGAGACGATGACGAGAGGACGAAACTGATCCCGCCGCTGAGACTGACGTTGAAGACAAGAGCGACGTATAAATTCATATGCATGCGACTCGTAAGAAAGTTGCCTTCAGACTCTAATATACAGCAGGAGTGACGCTCACCAAAGAAGCGTCCCTCGCGAGGCTGCTGGATGGATATTATCGACCTGCTTTTTTTCCTTCATATTTTCGTCCGTACGTTCGAGGCTCAGCAGGGGAAACGTATTTTTTGCACGGCCGTTGTACAGATTGAAAAACGAGCATTCGAACTTCGACGCATAACATGTCATTCGTGATATGGCATCTGTTGTGAGTGAACGGCGCGTTTGTTGACCAATAGGAGTCCCGGGATGGTGTGGCTGTTGGTGAGAATGTTAAGACTCCCGGCTAGACAAGAAAAAAACAAGCGTGTGAATGGCAGACTCCCTTGCTTTCGACTTGCCAAACGATCACTACTTCACTCAACTTTTTCTGCAGGGATAGTTAAGGTTGGTTCGCTTCCCTTCTCAAGCCTGTCTTGTGGAACCCCTTTTGACAGGTACCCGAACGGATCTCAGCTACTGCTCGGCGCTGGCCTGGCCATTGCGAAAATGGGCGAGCCCGACAACGCTCGCGAGTACTTCAGGAGATCAGTGGAGGTGAACGAAGGCCTTGTCGCTGGCGTCGTGGGTGACATTGTTTGTTGCGGTTGGGTGCTGCTGTTGGATGCTGTAGCTGCTCCCTTTGCCATCGCCGTGCGTGCTTCTGAACGTCATGGGTCTAGAGTCATGTCCAAGCATGTGTCTAGTGGTTAATGTGCACGATTTGGTGTATTATTGCAGCATCGACGGCGCTAACCGGCTGGCCACTAGAATTACTCAGTGCGACTCCTTACTGGAAACGTTTTGTGAGCGACATATTCCAGGGCCCCGTGAAGGGGTTTTGTGTTTCGTCGGAAGTGCCTGGGCCGTCTTTTACCCTCTCCTGCTTTGTGTAGTTTCTTGTTTGTCCTACGCTGTGAGGCGCCGCTCGTACACTTCGGCCGTCTTTTACCCTTGCCTGACGCGTGTAAGTTATCCTTTGTCCTGCACCCTGTGTGGCGCTACTGCTGTCTCTGGTGCTCTCTCACGCTTGTCGACGAAGGCGGATCCTAGTCATGCGCACGCGTGGCAGGCGTGGGGGCTGATGGAGACTCGCGCCGGCAACTTCAAGGTGGCGCGGTCTCTGTGGGAGAGGGGGCTCAAGGCTAACCCCACTCACGGCCCCCTTTGGCAGGTGGATTGGTGACGGCGCGTGGTGAATCAGTTGTCCTGGCTGTTTTTTTTCATGTCCTCTTATTGTGAGGCGACGAAATGTGCACATAGCGCGATGGTAAGTTGTCGCGAAACCATACCAAACACGAAATACTAATGTCAATACGCAAGGTGGGTAATGTCACCAAAATATTACCAAGAGGTTGCGTCTCACGCCCAAAAAGTATGGCAACCTTTCCAACACCGAGGAGACAACACTCGGCGGTACTCACGACTCATGACCGCTAACGGTACGTCATTTCTACATCCCGTCATCCCGTCAGGCGTACGCCGTAATGGAGGAGAAGGTGGGAGAGCCTGAGCGGGCTCGCAAGCTTTTCGAGGCGGGACTGGAGCGCTGTCCGGACCATGTGCAGCTCCACCAGGTTTGTTGTGTGCGTGTTTTTTTTTTAATAGCATCGACCGCGGTAACTGGTTGACCAATGAAAACACGTCAGTCCCAGTGCGGTTGAATACAAAACCTGTTTTCTGTAGGCCACGACGAGACCTCGTGAGGGGGGCGGTGTGGGGGGGGCTATGCTACTCTCCGGATTGACAACAGATACCGCAGCAATGCCAACAGAAAATTGCACGTGTTTGCCATGGCTGCTACTACTATGGGCGCGCGTTCGTTTCGGATCGCTTTCATCGTCTTGCCTTCAATTTCTATCACACTCTCATTGCCATGTTTCCACTAGTTTGTGCGTGTTTTCGAAATGTTACACAATTTGTCCATCTCTATCTATAGGTAAGGGTGCAGGATAAGTTGGCGATGAGTGTTGTGTTTTTTTTTTCTTCTTTAGATAACCCTCTTTTCGACGTGTGTTTTGCCTTCTTCTAGCAAATCCTCCTATTGACCACGTGTGTTGTGTCTTCTCTAGCCAGCGCCTTCCGACGATCAGGCGTCGGCTTCAGAACATCCCCGCTTGCTCTCTTCTGGCTGCAGACACGCATGTACACGTTCGGCATGAGTTGTTTGTCTGGCCGGTCGTGTTTTGGCGTGCTATGTGATCATGCTGCGAGGGGTGAAGTTGTTTAGCGCCGAACCACTGTTCCTCAATGGTATATTTTTCAGTGTTTCCACTTGTCCAGAGTCAATCAAGTCGAGTATCATCCAGCACATGAAGTGTGAAAACTCAAAACAGATACCCTCAATATCTCAGTGTTTACGATTATCCAGACTCAAATAAGTCGAATGTCATCCACAAGGTGTGGTAAAATACTTGAACACACTTGCCCTTTTGGAGCAGGGCACCATCTCTCACGGGAATAGTAGCATCTCTTTCTACTGCTTGTATTTTTGGGACCATACTTGGCGAAGTACACTTTCAAAGTTGTGCTTGAAGCTGCGTCGAAACACAGGTACATTCCAGCATGACTCTTTCCTTGTTTTTCGCTGCGTGGCAGGCGTGGGCGGTGATGGAGGGGATGTCGGGCGACCTGAAGAGAGCTAGGGAGCTGGTAGTGGAGGGGCTTCGGTTGGACCCTCATCACGGAGCTCTTTGGACTGTGTACTCCATCGTAGAGCGCCAGGGAGGCTCCGATGTCAAAGCTAGGAAGGTTTGTGTACATCTAGAGAACGGGGCGGTGTTTGTTCATCAGCAGCCAGAGAGGGGGGTCGTATTCATCAGTAGCCAGAGGGGGGAGGGGGTGGTGTTCATCATCGGCCAGAAAAGGGGGGTGGTATTAACCGTCAGCTAGAGAGCGGGGGTGGTATTCGTCATCATTCTTGGCTCCGATAGAAGAGGGTGGTGTGACCAAAGCCTTTGGCCCTCTTGTATCAGAGCCCCCTCTTATACCGGAATAATAGAGGGTACCCAATGAAATTACAGCGGGTGGAGTCCGCGACAGCCGATTTCGACCTTCATATGTCGGAACCACGACTAAAATACTGGCAGGTTGACATTGCCAGCAGCAGCAGTTGTTCATGACTATTTGGTGTGCTTTCGCTGCCGTGTCCGAGATTGAAGCGCCAAACCGAGGCGATGTGCATTGAACTACTCGACGGCTTACGCTAAAAAGGCCCGCGGGGCGGTAAGAGATATGTGTTTCGGGGGTTGCATTTTGCAATGAGGCAGCTTGGTACGCTACGCCTCTGGGGCAAGAGGCATGGTGTCTCGAAAGGGATGTCTCGAAGGGACAGGATGTAACAACGACAACGACACCAAGTCACACTCCCAGCTTTCCACTGAACAGTACGTGCAATCCCTCGTTCGGCCACTGCCGTTTAAGCACTTGACGTATGCCCATTGCGGTCCCAACCCTTTCGAAACCCCTTCTTCCTCCCATGTTCTTGGTGTTAATTACCCACCGTCCTGTCCCATCCCGTCGAATCCGTCACGTCCCATCCCATCCCATCCCGTCACATCCCATCGCATCGCTTCACGTCCGGTCCCGCCCCGTCCCGTCCCATCCTACCCCGACCCATCCCGTCTCAATAGGTGTTGGAGCTAGGTGTCCGTGCATGCCCGGATCACGGGCCCCTTCACCGCTGTTGGGCCCAGATGGAGCACCAGCTAGGAAACACTGCGGAGGCTCGCAGGAGGTTCGAGAGAGGGCTGGAGGCATGCCCGACCTACGCCCGGCTCTACTATGCCTACGCGGACATGGAGGCCGCCATGGTGCGTGTTTGTTTGCGGTTGGTTCCGTCCTCCGTGGTGTGCTGTGTGGAAACAAGATCTCCACAAGTTGTGACCTCGGGTTTGGGTACAGAAGCTGGCATGTGGCGCAATTGGTTTCTCCCAAATCCAGCAGAGTTGTGCATGGCGACATATTCTCGAGTTCCCGGCACTGTCGTTATGGTCCGCCAGCAACTTGAGGGATGCGTGCGACAGTAGCGGCACTGTTTTGTTTATTCGTCTCTCCTTGTGTGTGCCCGGGCGTAGGCTAGCCCGCTGCTAGTTTTTGCGGAGGAGCGCTCCTACTGCCCACGCGGCTTCAACCCGCCTCTCTGTTTCATCATCCTCGCGATGTACAGACCTCGTAGTTGTGTGGGTTGCTCCTTTTTTCTCCTCATCATTTGTCAATAAATGTATCTCGCTGTTCGATGCACGAATTGTGATGCACGATAGGTACAGCTGCGATGCCCCACCGTTACAGGCAGGCCATCTAGTTTCGCTATTTACATCGTTTCGAGAGTTTGTCAACATACCGTAGAATACCAACAGACACGAACAGAATGTTCGTGTACTCCTCAGTTTTCGGCGGGATATACTCGCAACTCGCCCGCGTGTGATTCGTTGCAGGCCTATGCTTGAGTCACTACTGCTGTGGTGATATGATATTATATTGGCAATAGATGCGCCCATGCCTTCGAAATGGGATGATACGGAAGTACCATGATTTCGGTGCGTTGCGACGTATTATTTGTCCTGTTTCGTTCATGTTTTATTGCCGCGGTGTGGTATGTGTGATTGTGTGTGATATGATTTTTTACTGTTGTTTCCCGTGTTTCCGTGCTCCAGGGCAATACGGTATTCGTGGAGAAGCTGAAAGCCAGAGGGGAGAAAGCCCTCGTGGAGAGCGGGGCAGCGCCGGACAAGATTAAGGAGTTCCAGCAGCAGATGGAGGCGTTCAAGGTGAGGGTATTACCGTAGGTTGCATACGCAATATATTACCCACCCCCTGGACAACCCATGCGACTCGCCGAATACCTCACGGCGCTTCGCGCTTCGTGATGTGAGAACCTGGTCCTGTGCGAACCCGGCGTGCTCCGGCCCGGCTTGGAAGGGATGGGAGGTCAATGGTCTATCGACACGGCATGCACGACTATGAGGATATCCCCCCCCCCCCCC